CCGGGGGGGGGCGGGGGGCGGGGCGGGGGGCGGGGCCAGCTCGGGGACCACGCCCCGCAGCCAGCCCAGGTGAGGCCCCACCCCTGTGTACACACCTGGGAGACCCCGCAGCCCGCAGGCCACGCCCCAGCTGGCCACGCCCACCAGGTGCCAGGAACCGCCCAGGCGGCAGCAGAGGGGACCCCCGGAGTCACCCTGGGGACAGAGGGGACAGGTGAGACACCTGGGACAGGTGAGACACACCTGACACACCTGAGACGCCTGGGACACACCTGGGACACACCTGGGACACACCTGGGACACACCTGGGACACACCTGGGACACAACTGGGACACACCTGACACACCTGAGACACACCTGGGACACACCTGAGACACACCTGGGACACACCTGACACACCTGGGGACACACCTGGGGGATTTTCGGGGACATCTGGGGACAGGTGAGGATGGAGAGGGGCATGGGGGGGTGGGGAGGGCTCCGAGAGGGGACACAGGTGACACAGGTGACACACAGGTGACACACAGGTGACACAGGTGACACAGGTGACACAGGGGACACAGGTGACACACAGGTGACACACAGGTGTCAGGTGACACAGGTGTCAGTACAGGTGACAGAGGAAGTGACACACAGGTGACAGGTGTCAGTACAGGTGACACAGGTGATACACAGGTAGCACACAGGTGACACAGGTGACACAGGTGACACAGGGGACACAGGTGACACACAGGTGACACACAGGTGACACAGGTGACAGAGGAGGTGACACACAGGTGTCAGTACAGGTGACACAGGTAGCACACAGGTGACACAGGTGTCACTCAGGTGTCACAGGTGTCCCTCACCTGGCAGGCGTCGCGCTGTCCCTCGGGGTACCCGGCACACACGGTGTCCTCGGCAGGTAACCCCACGTCCTCGAGGGGTGTCCCCAGGTGTGTCCCCGATGTCCCCAGGTGTATCTCAGGTGTCCCCAGGTGTGTCCCCGATGTCCCCAGGTGTATCTCAGGTGTCCCCAGGTGTGTCCCCAGGTGTTTCCCGTACAGGCAGTGGCAGTGGCGCTGACTCAGCAGAGGCACCTCCACCTGCTGCAGCGTCTTGGGGGGCGGCAGCGGCACTGCGGGGACACCTGGGGTCACCTGGGGACACCTGGGACAGGTGAGGGGACACCTGGGGTCACATGGGCACACCTGGGACAGGTGAGGGGACACCTGGGGTCAGGTGATGTCACCTGGGGACACCTGGGGTCAGGTGACGTCACACCTGGGCACACCTGGGGGGCTCTGGGGTCACACCTGGGGTCACCCAGAGGTCACCACGGGGTCCCCAACCCTG